TGTCTCTTAATTTCTAACGAAATTAATTTTGTTCAGGCAGTTTATCTGATAAAAAATAATGAAGAAAGAAAATTTAAATTAAAGGAAATACTGGATTTTTTTCTTCGTTGAGAGTGGGAATTCTTCAAGGCATCTATGAAGAGGATATGATAAGCATGAATCTAGTCATGTCTTTTGAGTTTTGAGTTACTACGTAAACAAATAATGTAAAGAAAATCTTTACTATATAAACAGAAGTGTACTAACAATACTGTAAATGTGGATTTTTTTTTTTTCCCTGTGGTACAGTTGGGAACTTCTCCACTTCATCTAGCAGCACAGTATGGTCATTATTCCACCACAGAGGTACTGCTCCGAGCTGGTGTAAGCAGAGATGCCAGAACCAAAGTGGACCGAACACCATTACATATGGCAGCTTCTGAGGGCCATGCCAGCATAGTAGAGGTTTTACTTAAGGTATGTGTTCTCTTTTTGCACTTTACTTTTAAAAAGCTTTAGAGTTTTATAAGAAAGAGAGGGAACTAGTTTTTGTTAAATGCATACTTAGTATTTTATCTATAGTATTTCATTTTTTGTGTGTATAAGCCCATTAAATGAAAATTATCTTACAGCTTTCATTTCATGAGAGACAAAACTTTCTTTAGGTATATTCTTAGTTAAGTCAACTAATTTATTTCTTGGACCTTGGTCTATCTTATGGTGAGGGACTACAGCGTTTTTTTCTTTTTTCTTTTCTTTTTTTTTTTGAAACGGAGTCTCTCTCTGTCACCCAGGCTGGAGTGCAGTGGCACCATCTCGGCTCACTGCAACCTCCACCTCCCGGGTTCAAACGATTTTCCTGCCTCAGCCTCCTGAGTAGCTGGGACTACAGGCACCCACCACCACGCCTAGCTAATTTTTGTATTTTTAGTAGAGATGGGATTTCACCATATTGGCCAGACTGGTCTCGAACTCCTGACCTTGTAGAAAATTCTGAAACATAGAGTGATAGATGTTCTGCTTGAGCCTTCTTATTCTGGCCTCTAGATCAGCCTATCAAAAAGAAATACAATGGAAGCCATAAATGCAAATCACATATACTGTAATTCTAAATATTCCAGTAGCTACATTTAAAAAGTAATTCTAATTTTATATTTTATTTAACCCAATATATACAAAGATTATCATTTCAACATGAAATCAGTATAAAAATTATTATTATTATTATTATTTTTCTGAGATGGAGTCTAGCTTTGTTGCCCAGGCTGGAGTGCAGTGGCACGATCTTGGCTCATAGCAACTTCCGCCTCCCAGATTCAAGCAATTCTCCTGCCTCAGTCTCCTGAGTAGCTAGGATTACAGGTGCCCGCTAACGCGCCTGGCTAATTTTCTATTTTTTGTATTTTTAGTAGAGATGGGGTTTCACCATGTTGGCCAGGCTGGTCTCGAACTCCTAACCTCAAGTTATCTGCCTGCCTTAGCCTCCCAAAGTGCTGGGATTACAGATGTTAGCTACCATGTCTGGCCCTTAATTTTTTGTGTTTTTTTGTATTGTAGAGATGGGGTTTTGCCATGTTGCCCAGGCTGGTTTCAAACCCCTGAGCTCAGCCGATCCAACTGCCTCGGCCTCCCAAAGTGTTGGGATTATAGGTGTGAGCCACTGTACCTGGCCTGGAACATGTATTTAACATATACAAATAAAGAATTGATTATGTTATTTGTTCTTACTTTAAAGCACAGACTAATAATTTCATATCAGGAATTTTTTATATAATATTTCATATGTTAGTAATCTCTTTGAAATATTTTTGTAGCATGGTGCTGATGTCAATGCAAAGGACATGTTAAAGATGACAGCTCTCCATTGGGCCACAGAACACAATCATCAAGAGGTGGTGGAACTTTTAATCAAATATGGTGCTGATGTACACACGCAAAGTAAATTTTGTAAAACTGCATTTGATATTTCAATAGACAATGGAAATGAAGATTTAGCAGAGATATTACAGGTAACTTTTGACTTTTAATTTAAGAACATAAAGAAAAAGAATTATCAGTAGAGGGATCTCTTATATTGTGGATGATTTAAACTATTTCGTTTGTAGCCTTTCATTTTGGGTTTAGTTATTTTGGATATGCCTTTTTCTCTTTCACTTCCTCTTTGTTTATTACTATTCATTTTCTTGATTATAAGGCCAGTCTTTTCATTAACATTAGATAAGGTGATTACTTTCTGATTATTAAGTTTCTAAATTTCCCTTTAGACTTTTTTTTTTTTTGAGCCAGAGTCTTGCTCTGTCACCCAGGCTGGAGTGTAGTGGTACGATCTTGGCTCACTGCAACTTTTGCCTCCTGGGTTTAAGCAATTCTTCTGCCTCAGCCTCCTGAGTAGCTGAGACTACAGGTGCATGCTGCCACACCCGGCTAATTTTTTGTATTTTTAGTAGAGGTGGTGTTTCACCATGTTGCCCAGGCTGGTGTCGAACTCCTGAGCTCAGGTGATCTGCCTGCCTTGGCCTCCCAAAGCGCGGGGATTACAGGTGTGAGCCACTGCGCCTGGCCCTAGACATTTTATTCTATTATTTTTGTTGCATTTTGATACTATATGATTTTTCCAGGTCTACTATAAATGACTTTATAAAAATTAAAAAATGTATATATTAGCAACCGTAATAACATCCCTTGAGTGAGTGATGCAGTTTGATTTGTTTCGTTTATTTTTCAACATCCTCAAAAAGATTTGCTGTTTTTGGCTTTTGGGAAGATTTTTCTAGTAACTAACATTACTTCTCTTATTTTCAGCCATATGACATAATATAAATTATCTTCTTTAATTAATGCCTCTTCTTGCCTGTTTGTTCCTGATCCCAGCAGTAGAACTCTTCTTTTCTAAGACTGTCTAACTCCTTTGAGCTTTCACTAGTTACTTAAAAGATGTTTTATGTTCAGGAAAATGAATTCTACCATGCCTCTTTCCATTCCTTTTACTCTTAGGAGTGCAGTTTGGGGGTTGGAGTTGAAGATGGGGAACAATTAATTGAGAAGGACATGCTTTATATATGTGGTATTATGTATTGCCAAATATAGAAGAAATAATTAAATTTCTATAGCTACAGAAATATTTTCTGTCTGTTTGTTTTGTTTTGGTTTTGGTTTTTTTAAGATGGGGGTCTCACTATGTTGCCCATGCTGGTCTCAAATTCCTGGGCTTAAGCACTTCTCCTGCCTCCGCCTCCTGAATAGCTGGGATTACAGGCACCTGCCACCTCAACCGGCTTGATGTCAAGTTGTTCTTTGTTCTGTTAAAAACCTTTTAGATACTCATTTCTCCTCTCCCAGGATTTTGCTGCTTTACTTAGGAGGGGGACTCGGGATATAAATATATACCCATAGTGTGCCCCTACACTGTCAGGGGACCTTAGACATATATTTCCACTTGTACTATGTGATTATTCTTCGAGAATATTCCTTTACATGTGTGTTTGTATTATATGGAGAATTTGTGCTATATGTTCTGGTTATAATTCTGAAAACACTGTGGTCATTTTTTCCCTAGATTGCTATGCAGAACCAAATCAACACAAACCCAGAGAGTCCTGACACTGTGACAATACATGCTGCAACACCACAGTTTATCATTGGACCTGGAGGGGTGGTGAACCTAACAGGTCTGGTATCTTCAGAAAATTCATCCAAGGCAACAGGTATTGAGATGCATATAGGATAGGCTTTGGGATTTTATGCTTTAGTAGGTATTCATCACTTTAAGAAAGGACTGTTGGAGAACAAGGGTAAGATTCTATCAGCCACCTTGGTTTTCTTTGGCATAACTGGCAAAAAAAATTTTATGAGACAAAACAATCTGAAGAAAGGTGATACTGCAAAATTTACTGCAGTATTACCTTTCAAAAGCTAATGCTATCCAAGCTTTGTTTAAGAGTCAAATAAGGTAAATAGAGTATCAGAAATATGCATTGGATTAAGCTCCTTAGAAATTCAAATCTATTTTCTTTTTTCTTACAGATGAAACGGGTGTATCTGCTGTTCAGTTTGGAAACTCTTCTACATCAGTATTAGCTACATTAGCTGCCTTAGCTGAAGCATCTGCTCCATTGTCCAATTCTTCAGAAACTCCAGGTTAGAAAAGCACGTCTAATGTGTACATTAAAATTGCAGATTCAGGCTGGGTGCAGTGGCTCACACCTGTAATCCTGGCACTTTGGGAGGATGAGGCGGGTGGATTGCCTGAGGTCAGGAGTTTGAGACCAGCCTGGGCAACATAGTGAAACCCTGTCTCTACTTAAAAACACAAAAAATTCAGCCAGCGTAGTGGGCCGCGCACATGCTGAATCCCAGGCGACGTCGGAGAGGCTGAGCAGAGGATTGCCTATGAACTCAGGAGGTGGTGACGGCTGCCAGTGAGCCTGGAGTTTGCCGCCACTGCCACTCGCAGCCTGCGGTAACAGAGCAAGACTGCTGTCTCAAAAAAAAAAGAAAAAGAAAACAAAAAAATGTTTGGAGATTCAAATATTTACAAGGACCAGGAAGACACATAAAAGGCTAGGTGCCTGCAGGAGAGATTTACGCCCGGCTGAAGAGTGGGCGCAGGGCAGGAGTCATCTGTGACTGAGCTGCTAAGCTGTTCATCAGTCATCAGCCCAGAATTCCCAAATTCCTGCTTTTTTAATAGGAAAGCTGTGAATCTGGATTTTGGAAAAAGAACATTAAATCTTGGTAACTAATTGAAAAACCAAAACAAAAACTGTTGTGGCTCATAGAAAAAAATGTCCCTGTATCTAAATTGGCCCCTTGATTTACTAGTTTGTGACTTTTTGTTTAAAACAACTTAACTTTTGGCTGGGCATGGTAGGCTCACAACCACTGTAATCCTACACTTTGAGAGAGCCAAGATAGGTGGTTCCTTGAGCCCCGGACCCTGGGCAACATGCTGAAAGCCCAATCTCTACCAAAAAATATATAAAAAATTAGTCCAGGTGTGGTGGTTGGTGCCTGTGGTCAA